TGCTAACCGTGAGCGTAATGCACTAAGTTTGTCCGCAGAAACTAGCACGCAGCGCCAATTACGACTAGAATTTAAACGAGTCCGCACTACTGCTTCTCGATCTCAGGAAAGTGTGGAACAACGAGAAATGCTTTTAGTTATCGACCGGAATCGTCATTCTTTGTCTCGAGCATCCGAAACGGTTACACAGAGTGATCAGAAGTTGAGTTTTCAGAATATCCGCTCTGAGACTGCTCGATCACTTGAGAGCAGTCAGGAGCGTGAGATACGACTTGCGCGTGACCGAGAACGTGGGCAAAGCCAAGGGTACAGCTATAGTTTATAAAGAATTTTTTTTAAAGTGATTTGCAATATTATTGTTAATTCAGTGTACCCTTGGGATCCGGTGCATTCCGAGCCGGATCGGTGAAATATACGGGATGAAAAGTTTTTTGTTGTATAGGTGTTAAGTCTAGGTAACATATAGGCTAGGAAATGGAACACCCGATGCAGAACAGCAACAGACCAGCTAAAGTATAAGAGATATAAAAATGGTGTCATAGCAAAAAATATTCGACCTGAAGAGTTTTTCTGCTGTGAGAATAAATTTGAAGATCGGCAACACCTGTTGTGGAACTCCAAAGCCCAGCGACATTATAACATATACAGGAATGACGTCTTAGCAAAAGTTGTATAGTCTGATGGGCATTTCGTGTTGACTTTCAAAAATTAAAAATCTGGAACGTCTCGAATCGTCTCGCGCATCACGTTGTTTTCCCGTCCCCGAGCTCTTAGAATTCGACATCAGACGTTTTAGATCTTCGATTTTGACGACCCCGTTGTCGCTGGCATAAGCAACATCATCTGCGTACGAAGTCGCGGGCAGCAGATAGTAGATTATAGTATACGAAATTGTGTTTCTGTCTCTGTCCTTCTCTTAGTTTTGGTTTTACAGGGCGGTAAATATCAAGGTGACCATATTACCTTCACGTACCTTAGTATTACGTCTTCTTATTTATATGATTATTGATTATAAAGCTAGGTTACTTTTATAATAAAAATTAAAAAAACGGTAGTTGTTCATTACGTTTTAGTTTGTAAGTTTTACTTAAAATAATGTTATAGAGCTAGCTCTTCTTATGTCTACTGCAGAGACAAACAGGTCCAACGTACGCAACGTACGCAATGCATTATGACATCTGAACGCTTGATTTTGTATGAAAAACAAAACGTTAGAGACACACTTATCGTACGCAACATAATCACACGCGTTTGACGCAACGTTGATCTACGATGATTAGATCGGCGTTGGAATGTGGACTTTCATACTCAATCCCACACGCATTGAGTTATACAAGACTAGAGGAGCAAACCACATTGCCGCGCGTCGAACAAAGTGTAACCACTATCCAAATGCGACGACGTAGCTTTGAAATCATTAAAATTTTTAAGTAAACATATATCTGTCTCACTTACACAAGTCGCGGAAAACAATATCGTCCCTAAGATTAGATAAAGATAGACACACTAACATGCAGTGGCGGGTTGGTGTTGCATACTTTATGAAATTTTACCCAAAATGAGCAATATAAAGGAGTTTTTTTTTTAAAGTTGCAGTAAATTGTTTTTATTTTAAATTTGTATATTTTCTTATTAGATGAACAGAAGTAAGCATAAGTAATGAAATAAAATATGTTTTTATATATTATTTTTATTGTACTAATAAATCAAACAAAAAATAAAGCAAATAAAAAAAACAATTTTAGGTTTCTTAAGCGAGATCTGTGTTGAATATGCATAAGTTGTGAAATCATCACCAAGTTTTTGTCTCTTAAATTTAGTCTCATGACATTAGCTACAAAAACTTTGGTTATCAATAAATTTCGTTGATTTTCTTGTTTATAGAATTTCTAAACTACTTAACAACTTTAAAAAGTTTTTATATTTTTTTTGCAACAATACTGAGGATAGTTAATGGATTCAGGCGTGACTCTGCGGAATTAATTTTTATTAATATAATATAAAATAATAAAATATAATTAATAGACCATTCATGAATAAACTAAAATAAGAATAATTATTTTGTATAAAGGTTGAAACATAGTTTTTATTTTTAAGCAATCAATTTTACTTGTTTATTTTAAAACAAAATTAACTTATACCATAAATTATACAGTCTCCCATTAATGTGGAAAAATCACAAAGGCGGAAAAGTGGCAACATTGAACCTAAATTGCAATATTCGATATTTTATTTAATTTTTTAGTGTTTCAAACGTTAATATGAATATATAAATTAAAACTTACGTATGGAAAGTGATTCCGCTTGATTTATTATGTTTTTGTGACCTTGAAACGCATTCTTTCACTACGCATTTACCCATTTTTTGTTGTGAATCGTTCGGCTTAACTCGGACGGCGTCACCTTGAACACTGAACCGACGTTCGCTGAGTATAAGGCTGTGGCCTTATGTGAAGTGACAACGCTTTGGCGTGGAAATTACTTATCTAGTGTAACATATAAATCAATGCCCACACGTATGACAAGTGAACTACCTAGAACTTATTCGTAGCATGTCAAAAAAACCTGGTATAACCATAACTATAACCTGGTAAAACGTGTGCAGTGTGTTTGCATACTGCACACGTTTTGCCGTCAAAATTAAAATTAAAATTTACGGGGATAAGTCACGCTGCAGCTATATTATAGTTGTAGCACGAATGGGTCGGCTCGACAGGGGCAGGACTACACTCTCACAGAATACCAGCGTAAAATAGCAGCGTAAGGCTGCTGTGTTTCGTATGGTGAGTGCAGAGAACCGGAGACCCTTTTTACTAGAATCGAGGCAATCGATCTTAGTCCTCAGAGTGACAACGCATTTGCATTTCGATCCTCACTTGAGGATAAATGTGTTGTCGCCTATTGCTATAAAAAAGTTAACTTTTTTTTTGCTGTGTTAAACCAATAAAACTCCATGTCTTGCAGTACAACTACCTATATACTATGAGTGATATAAAAAATATTAACCCCAGATGTAATACTAAGCTCGAAATACTGTGAAAGAACAGTAATTACGTAAGCTATCGATAATGTGTAACTTATAAAAAGGCGGATTTTCATCACATAGACTGATGTTAGTGATTATAGGGATGATCTTTTGTAGAGAAATTTAAAATGATGACTACAGGCTAAGGCAATCCCGCCACTAACCACGTATTTTGCGATGTTTGCTCCAGTAGACGTAGTCGAAAGAATAAAAATTACGTATTTACACACAGCACGTTTCAACTTCATATAATGAAAAGAGAGTCGAATTGAAGGGCAAAGTTAACTTAGTAGTGGAAAAAATGTTCTCCCATACAACAGAAACCCTCAGAAGACACAAGTTTGCGCGTTAACCGCTAAAAAGAATCCCTTTGTCATATCTCTCAGTTTCAAGGCACTCTCCTTATTGCCTCAGCCAGTATCGGAATTGTCGGCGACGACATATCGAGTGACGTGCAGTTTCATGGTCACTTGGAAGAGAAGGCCAAATTGGCGTCTAAAAAGCTTGGCGCGCTCAGCAGAGTGGGACAGTATTTCACGCCGGCACACAGCCTGCAACTTTACGGCCGGACCTGGAATACTGTTTCCATCTCTGGGCTGGGGCTCCCCAGTGCCAGCTCCTTCCACTTGACCGCATCGAACGCAGAGCGGCTCGAATCGTCGACGACCGAGTGCTTTCGGATCGGCTTGATTCACTGGCACTGCGAAGAGATGTTGCATCTCTTTGCGTATTTTATCGCATCTATCTATCACGGGGAGTGGCTCTGAGGAATTTTTCGGATTAATCCCAGCCGCAAAATTTCAAGAACGCACTACGCGGCAAATCTCCCGATACCATCCACACCATCTGGATGCTTGGCGATCCACCACTGTATGTTTCACAAGGAGTTTTCTTCCGCATACGACCTCTCTGTGGAATAGTTTATCACCTGCGATTTTTCCGGACCGATATGACCTGGGGACCTACAAGAAAAGAGCTTACCCCTTTCTAAAGGGCCGGCACCGCAACTGCAATTCCCCTGGTGTTGCGGATGTTCATGGGCGGTGGTAGACACTTAACATCAGGTGAACTGTATGCTCGTTTGCCTCCATTTTTATAAAAAAATACAGTCTTATTACGGTCTATGCTCCAAATGCATTTTTAAAGAAAAAGGGTAACAAACGAGCACACAGTGTATCTGATGGTAAGTGGATGTTGAGGTCTATAGATATCTACATCTATCCTCGATTAAGAATCAAATTGCTAATGCGTTGTCAGCAAGACCATTAGTAAGGACTTATATGAAACATTCAGCATACGAAACGTAGCAAGCATTAAGCTTCTACTAGAGCGTTGTGCTTCCCCGGTCGACGCGACTCATTAGTGCTACAATCGTAAACATTTTTATGTAATATACCTGCAAATTAACGATTTTCCTTTACTTGTGCGGTGAGACCTAGCTTCTTACTAAATTTCATAATTCTTAGTCAACGAGAAGCACCCTATAGACTTTGAGGAGTGAGTTTGCGAGTATCAAAATATGTAACATAAAAATCGGTATCTTTTGAAAGTTTTGCCTTTAAAGCTTAATTTGCTTAAATCTTAAAGGGAGCGTAAGCTTTAGTACTTGATATTAATTTTAGCTTTATCTTTTTGTGGTAAATATGGTCTAGAAATACGGTTATACGGATGGAAATAAAGTGAACCTATGAAGGTTCCGTTTTTCAGACAGACGGACGGACGAACTAACGGAAAAGATAATAAGGGTGTTTTTTCTTTTGTAAAAAAGTATTTTATAAAGAACATGAAAATAACTTTCTTATTGTTTCTGTACATGGAAATGAAACTCATTATACAACTCCTTGAAGTTTGCTAGTTACAGATACGAGTATGTTACAAAAAAACTGTGTAATAAATTTAAAATGTAAAGATAAATGAAAAAAGGTATAAAAGTGAGCTAACATCATCAGCGTACAATAGGTTGGGCAAACAGTGCATGCGTATGATTGTGTCGCCGGGTCGAACCGATTCTGTACGACAGGTTTTTTACTCGAAACATTCCCCAATCAGCGCCAGTGGCAGTTGCAATTATCTCTTGTGACAAATCGAATTACGATCAATTCGGATTTGCGCGCATTCGTACGAATATAAAACGGTTTGCATTAAAATTTAGCGTTCGATGCATGGGATGCCTTCCCATTAGTCGGGTTGAACGCTAACTTTGTTTGTTCATACAGGTCCGCGTTCGCATGTGAAGTTTTCATTTACCCCCTTTTCATTTATTTTTCGTTCACTTTGCGACATTATAGAGTAACTAAGTACAAGCTATTACTCTTAAGAAATTAAATAAGAATGTTAAATTCCAATAATATAGATGAGTAAATGATAGATGTGATTGGGGAACTCAAAATTTCATAACACCCATATAACATCTCATGAGGCAAAAGCTGAGTCACCTCCGTTAGCCTAAATTTAATTAAGTAATTAGTTTACATGTAAATTTTTTTTAAATGTGGTTATACAGTAATATTTATTTATTTCTTTATTATTTCTTTAAATATAAACAGTACGAATTAACAATACTATTTATCATAATCGTAATCATTACAGCCATAACAACCCAAGTCCACTGCTGAACATAGGCTTCCCCCAAGGAATGCCACAAAGCACGGTAATGATCCTGAGCCATCTGCATCCATCGACTTCCGGTATCTCTTAACAGGTCGTCACTACATCTAGTAGGGAACCGCTCAACTTCCCTTAACGGTACGAGCTACTCTAATCATTAGTAGTCCTTTCCTTTACTGTTTTCGAACATAGGTTATAAAAGTTTTAAATTAGCTTTAGCCATTTGTTCGTTACAATTCACAAACTCAAAACACTTTTCAGGTATGGTTCCAGAACAGGCGGGCGAAATTCCGCAAGCAGGAGCGACTCGCGCAGCAAAAAGCAGGCGAGACGCCAGTGAAGGCGGAGGGCAAGCGCGACAAACCAGGCTCCCCCGCCTCACCTCACCAGACACCGCCAGCGCCACCTCAGCCTGCCCACCACACACTGCCACATCTCTCTCCACCTGATCTGAAACCTATAACCTCTGCAGGTAAGCCATATTTATTTACGTACATTTGAGTAAGACTTATAAAAAACGACAAAAGAAACCTCTAAGAAAGAATAAAGAAGTTTAAAGAATTTGGTCGGAATAAAGAATCGGATGACGATCGTAGACCTAAACGCTTCGCATCGTAGTTACTCCATTCCGTCACCTGGAAATCTTAGGTCTTGGGTTTTGCTAGTCGAAATGTTTATTCTGCAACTTTTTATACTCTTAGTGAACTTTTATGATATGTCAATGTTTTCATAATATTATAGTTAACAATGAAGTTAAAGCCCATCTGATGATGTAGGGTATGAAGATTGATAAATAATTTTTATTAATTTATTTATTACAGCATATTAAAATCCAATGCTGCACATGACCTACCGATAGATTCTCACACAAGGGGAATACTTGATACAGTTGCTACAGTCTTAAGGAAGACTTAGGGCAGCAGGCCCTATATCGCCTCTTACGACACCTACGGGTTGATATGGCGTAGTGGATATTCTTACACTGTTATACTACTCGGAACAACTGATACATTGTGACATCTTTAACTAAGGACTAAGATTATATACTTCACAGCCTTTATTTATACTCTTAGTGAACTTTTATGATATGTCAATGTTTTCATAATATTATAGTTAACAATGAAGTAAAAGCCCATCTGATGATGTAGGGTATGAAGATTGATAAATAATTTTTATTAATTCATTTATTACAGCATATCAAAATCCACTGCTGCACATGAACTACTGATAGATTCTCACACAAGAGGAATACTTGATATAGTTGCTACAGTCTTAAGGAAGACGCTGCTCCCTCTATCCCCTCTTACGACACCTACGGGTTGATATGGCGTAGTGGATATTCTTACACTGTTATACTACTCGGAACAACTGATACATTGTGACATCTTTAACTAAGGACTAAGATTATATACTTCACAGCCTTTATTTATACTGACTGCCTTACATTTTAAACCAGATTATAATGACACATAGCCAGACTTTATGAACCATCATAACGATGATGGGAGATGCATTCTCTGACATTTAATTGAAAATGAAAATGAAAAATGAAAATACTTTATTTAACAGTTAGCACCTTTACAAATAATTTAGCGGTGGTTCTCACACTAGGCACGTAGACCTGTATCGTGAGAGCCATATACACATATTAACAAAAAACAGAAATTTGTGCACGGCTGACTTTACAAAGCTTTCCCTTTAAATATCTACTCCAATTTTTTATGGTCTATAAATATAAACATATACTTAAACATACATACATACATCCATATATATACATACACACGCATAGATATTATAATTTGTTAATATTACTGTATTTTGAATTTGCAATTACTGCTATAATAACAATATCGATATCAATATTGGGCACGTAACTACTATGACAATGTTTGAAACAGCTTTTCTGTTTGTTCGTAACTAAGCGTAAGCAACCAATTTCGTATTTTTATTCTAGCCGTGTTCGTCGAGCAATCTCTTATGTCGCATGCCTTCATAACTTTATTATAAATTAGTGTTTCAATGAATGGACTAAATCGTTTTGCGAAAGCTGTGCGAACACTTGGTAATGGCATTAGAAACACACGTTTTTTCATCAGCTCACTGTATTTATGTGAGCTTAATATTTTTCTATGAACACATGTAGCCACACATAAAACAAATAGCTGCCGAACTGTAAGTACTTTAATATCTCTGTACAGTTTAACTGTTGGATACCTGTATTTCTTGTTAAGCATAACTTTCAGGACCGAACGTTGAGCTCTCTCAATTCTTATCATGACTGTTTTGGAAGCGCTTCCCCAGCAAGGAATACAATACGTTAGCAGAGACTGACATTTTAATGAATTGATGACAATGACAATTTAGTGAATTACCACGTGACAGTAGGTTTATTTGCTAATAATGAAACTGAAGAATATATTTTAGTAAATGTCACCAAGCTTATTATTTTAATATCAGTCTTATGGAGTGTCTGGTATCAGCTTATACCAAAGTCAATTTCGCTGTTAGAGATTGCCTCAGGCAATGTCAGCTACACTGTGTCTCGTGTTATTGAACTTTAAATAAATGAATAGATAAACGAATATAAAACAAAAAATATATTTAAATGTCTCTAACAAATAAATAAACTAGTAAAGGTTTTGAATAAAACTATTATTTACGGATTTTATCGCGTTTAATTACTTTAATTTATTTTTATTATTATCCCGACGTTTCGGGTGCTTTACAGCGCCCATGGTCACGGGGGGGGACTGAGATGTTTGACGTCCCAATGTTATAGTTAGTCCGGCTACCTTCAGTTTTTTAATATTAATTTTTGGTCCGATTTACGCAAAATGAGCTTATAGTATCATGAAGTCTTGCAGTGGTATGCTTGGGTTTGGGTTTAATTTTGTTAATTATAGGATCCCAAGCAGATGGTAGCACCCAACCATCTTCTCTATTGAAATTGGGATGTTTTTTAATTTCAATAGCCTCGCGTATCATCCTTGGTAGGAATCGGTGTTCTTTTGCGAGAATTTGTGGTTTATCAAATCTAATGTAATGGTGGGGACGATCTTGAACATGTTCGCAGACTGCAGACTTCCCGGAGCGTCGGTGCTTCACATCAGCTATATGTTCCTTCACGCGGGTTTTTATAGATCTCTTTGTTTGACCTATGCAAGAGAGACCACATTCACAATCTAGCTTGTACACACCTGCATCTTGTAGAGGAATATTACATTTGATGGATGGTAAAAATTGACTAATCTTCTTCAGCGGCTTGTAGTATGTCTTAATGGACGCTCGCTTCAAGATGTAGCCAATCTTGTCCGTGACTCCTCTAACATATGGTAGTAGAGCAGGCGCGCGCTCGACTGTGGCCGGCTTCACTCGTTCACTGTGACGTAGGCGCGGGACCCGAAGCTTGTTGTCTTGCAATACTTGCTTGATGTGCTGAAGCTCCGCGCCAGATGTTTTCTGTCACAGATCCCTCGTGCTCTCTGAAACAAAGATTTACCCACGGTAGCTAACTGTGAAGGATGATGGTGAGATTCACCATTTAAATATCGGTTGGTATGGGTCTTTTTCCTATACACAGTGTGAGCAATAGTGTTATCAGGATTTCGGATGACTAAAACATCTAGGAAAGCTAAAGAATTATTTGCCTCTAACTCCATTGTGAATTGTATTTTAGAGTTTATGGAGTTAAGGTGGTCTAAAAATGCAGTTACTTTGTCAGATGGTAAAATTGTGAAAGTGTACGTCTACGTACCGCTTGTAGAACCTTGGATTTACAGGAGCAGTAAGAAGGGCTTTCTCCTCAAAGTCCTCCATGAATATGTCGGCGACTATGGAAGACACAGGTGAGCCCATCGCCACACCATCTACTTGCTTGTAGAACTCCTCCTTCCACAATAGATAGCCAGATGTGAGGCAATGTTCAAGTAGTATTGCATATTCTTGAGGCATGTTATTTTCTTCTAGCTTCCTAGTTACAATTGAGATGCAGTCCACAATAGGTAGGCATGTAAATAGTGACTGAACATCAAAACTGACCATAGTTTCATTGTTAGCGAGATGTAGGTCTTTTATCTCACTCACAAAATGGTATGAATCCTTTGTGTGTGCTCTGGTATGTCCTCTTAGTGGTGATAGTATTTTTGCTAAGTATTGTGCCAGCTTAAAGTTGGTGAATCGATCTGGCTCACTATGGGACGTAGTGGAGCGTTTGGTTTGTGTATCTTCGGTAACCCATACAACCTCGGTGGTTTGGCACATGATGGTATTAGCGAATTCACGTCGAGATTTAATTTTTCGGAGTATTTCTTTATTAAATCGCTAGTTGTTTTAAGCGTGTTAGTTGTAGGGTCTGTTTTGACCTTTTTATATGTACTTTCGTCCGATAAAAGTTGTTGTATTTTTAAATTATATTCCGACGCGTCCATTACTACCGTAGCATTTCCTTTATCCGCGCGGAGAATCGTGAGTTCTGTAAATCGTGAGAATTAATAATAAAAAACTGAAGGTAGCCGGACTAACTATGACATTGGGACGTCAAACATCTCAGTCCCCCCGTGACCATGGGCGCTGTAAAGCACCCGAAACGTCGGGATAATAATAAAAATAAATTAAAGTAATTAAACGCGATAAAATCCGTAAATAATAGTTTTATTCAATGTGTAGTGTTCGCGTAAATTTAAGAAATCATTAGTAAAGGTTTACTTTTATGACACCACCATCACAAACTAACATTTGCCAAAAGCGTAAAAAGAACTTTGCAGTTCGTGTTTTTGAATATTTTGGTGCTTAGTCATTAATATCCTAATTTGGTGAGTTCTGTAAATCCGTGAAATTAATAAAAAAAGAAGGTAGCCGGACTAACTATGACATTGGGACGTCAAACATCTCAGTCCCCCCGTGACCATGGGCGCTGTAAAAAGCACCCGAAACGTCAGGATAATAATAAAAATAGAATTAAAGTAATTAAACGCGATAAAATCCGTAAATAATAGTTTTATTCAATGTGTAGTGTTCGCGTAAATTTAAGAAATCATTAGTAAAGGTTTACTTTTATGACACCACCTTCACAAACTAACATTTGCCAAAAGCATAAAAGAACCTTGCAGTTCGTGTTTTTGAATATTTTGGTAGCGAGTCATTAATATCTGTCTCAGAATTTGATGAAAAAGTGGAAATGTTTATAGCGTAAATCACAATGAATTAACCTTCAAAATAACAAGAAAGCGTTCTATTTCGAAATACTTATTTTTCGAAGAAGTCCTTTAAATTGATAAACAAAGGTAATTGATTACATTTGTTATGACCTGTGCTAGCGACCGTGTGTGTCCGAAACTGTAGAATTTATAACCTTTTGAAATGACTGAGATAAATATAATCTCAGTCATATTAATAGTATTTGTGATACCTACAATATTTTTAATTTATTTTCTCTGTTATTGCAAATTGGCTATTTATTTTTATGAATAT